TGAACTTCGTTCTCGCAATACCGTTTCACCCACACCATCACACCATCTGCAGCATTCACAACTTCCTGCGCCGGTTGTTACACCACTTTCACAACCAATCCCACAATCACAATCGTCACCGGACTCCACACAATCATCATATCCACCCACACCTGCGGGCTATGTCCCACGTGTCATCGAATGGCCGAGTCTACTTGATGTTGTGTCAGAACTTCCACATTCTCCCAATACTCGTCCAACTGTCATACCGTGCCGGCGACCGGTGCACTCCATTCCGTTACCACCTAGCCCACAACCACCATTGGCACCACATCCCACTCCAGCTTCCCCCATTCCTGTATCATCACATGCGGTTCAGCTTCTTCACCCAACTGCGTTCTCGGTCATTCCACCACTCGACCCGAACCTACCCTACTCGAAATGGCATCACTTCTTGACGATAGTGTCCCTAAATCAATCCCTGCCACTATGAAACTCAACAATTGGCCACTGCAGCAGACTGCCATCACGAAAGAATATAACACCCATGTTCGCAACAACCTCGCTGATATCATACCATATAATACTGTACCGGCACACGCCAAAATAATACACTCTAAATATGTATTTGCTCGGAAGTATGATGAACACGGACAACCAACCATATATAAACACGAATGATTCTACGAGGTGACGAGCAAGAGAAGGGTGACTCATACTTGGACACATATGCACCAGCTGCATCCGCCGTTGCACTCAGACTGTTCTATGTTCATTGCCGCCGCAGCAGCCTCTGGAAAGGTCATTCACCGCTTTGATGCTGACACAGCATTTTTCTACAGTAAACTTGATAAACCAGTATACAACATGTACCCCCCTAAAGGTGCCATTGAACTTAAAAACTACCCACCAGGATCTGTGCTTCGTCTTAAACGGGGACTATACGGGCTTAAACAAGCCGGACGCCTATGAAACTTTGATATTGGGGACAAATTAAAATAAAATGGCTTCACCCAAAGCGCTGCCAACGAAATATTTGGAACCACACCACAAGAAACATCAAAGTCTGTTGACGAAATTTGCCCTGGCAACTCTCCCTAACACCAACGACGGTAAATGGCTCTATGACACTTTATTGCACTACTACAGTCTAAAAGACCTTGGTCTTGTGAAACATTTAGTGGGCCTTCGCGTAACTCAACATCCCAACGGATCCATCAGTATTGACCGATAGGCATCCGTCGAACGTATGCTGCATGCATTTGAACTCACTGATCGCAATCTAAAACATACACCTGGCTCTGACACACACCCCAGCAATACCGTCGTTTACTTGGCGCACTGGGGTATGCAGCAAACATGACACGCATTGATATTACATGCACACTCAACATGCTTGCATCATTCAACACATAGGCAGTACAATCCCACTATGAGGCACTCGAGCGTATACTTCTATATCTTGGAACAACCATACGATATCGCATCACATACAACCCACTCAACAACCGCAAAGGGCGTGTGGCAGATGCTCTTGTTGCTTACACAGACTCAGACTGGGCAACGTGTGCCAACTTACCCGCAAATTAGCTCTGGAGAAGCCGAATACATGTTGGCTTTGGAAACTGCTTGAAACATAGCATGGACACGCAACATTCTTGCAGATTTACGCTGCGACCCACATCAGCTTACATCCCTCCACATAGACAACGCACTAAAGGGACACAAACATATGGACATCCGCCACCACTACCTGCGCGACTGTGCTCGCCGCCACATGCTCAACCTTCACTGCATCAACACTCACGAGAACCCGCGGATTTACTTATAAAGAGCCTTGGCCGCACCAAGCATGAGAAGTTCACCACCATGCTACAAGACACACGCTAACACACACACACACCTTCACACACACACAACGCATCAACACATACACACACACGCTATCTAACTAGTGCAAGACTGAAAGGATCTTTCACGTGTACCCGGCTATTTATACGTACCCTGGCACAACCTGACCAGTCATAATCACACTCCAGTGACAACTGACTCTTCTAGAATTATTGGCTCTTCTAGAATTTTTGTCCCCCACTACTCCCCTATCATCGATATAAGTTTTAAGACCCTCGACACTTTGGAAGGCGTACTCCATCCTCTGCTGCATGACCAAAGATGCAGCCTTGATACCAAACGGCATGACCAAAGACGCAGTCTTGATACCAAATGGCATGCCCACAACTGTGTGCTTGCCTCAATGAGTCTAGAACGTCAGCCAGTGCTGTGAGCCCGCCCTTTCCACAACTTTCAGTTGGCAAATAGCCTTATACAATCGTCCAGCTCAGCCGCATTGGCCAAGTAGTCCATCCGTTTCTTAATGTCCATGAAGTGGGCGTATCTGTACTGACGTAATGTAGTTCTTGCGCTGCTGTTTCTTCAACTTATTCCGATGACTCACACGCAAACTCAGATGGCTGCGCAACGTTTTTAAGTTCTGCGGCTTTTGCACGTCGTGAAGTTTACGCCTCTTGCACCCGACCTTCGTGCGTCTAGTTCTCGCCCACTTTTACCCAAGGGGCTTTCATTCCCGGTTGCTCCTCATCCACAGCTTCAGACTCTAAGAAGTCTATGACCTGTGTCTGAAAACCCACCGCTAACCAGTCCTGCTCTGCCCACATGAGGGACAAGCGTTCCTTACTTACACAAGTCTTTGAAGCCAAGCAAGACATTCGTGTCAAACGGCAAAAGCTTCACTACCAGCAGATCTCCATGGGGCGAACGATAGAGCCCCCCATGTATCGTATGTCACCGAAGACTGCTCCACACCCGATAGGCAAACTAAACCCATGTCCGCCACATCTTTATATGGTAAGCCCATGTACCGTGGCACTTAAAGCCCTGCTGAGCCGCGAAGTATTCAGCGACCAAGCTAGGAGTAGCTTCCGAATCCACGCACACCTATACCTTCTCACCCTGTATCCCTCCCTTGATCACGCTCCCTGTCTGCGCCTTCTCTTTAATAGTCGCACCTGGCTATCCTGCCAGTCACTCAACGCCTTTATGACAGTTAGCAGCTATGTGCTCATAATCATAACAACACCTAAAGCACCTTGATACCTCTCAAGCGCTCCTTGAAATCACCATCGGTGTCCTCACCAGACAGTTCGATCCCACCCTCATCCTCCGAGGTACGTTTCCGTGTCTGCTTTTCTGCTCCTGGTGCATGCTGTTGCCCTTGTTCTCATCAAGTAAGTTCCGTAACACTTTTTATCTGCGAACGCAAGTCACTGAGGACCGCCATGGTTTCCATCCATGAAGTACCTATCGTCCTGTGGCTCTTTCTTCACCACAGGTATGCGGGTCAGCACGTGCGTGCTGCTCAACAGCATGCGCACATCCTTCTCATAGGAACAGTAAAACCTGAGTTAAACCAACAATCCGATCACTCTGGTGCACATATGCGAGCCCGCACGTTTTGTCCTTCCCGCAACAGACATCCATAGAGCCGTGAACCAGATCCAAGCTCGCCATAACAGCGTTTCCATACCGAGGTTTGACCTTCATTCACCCCAATAAGAAGCTCGCATGAGAACTTCAAAAAACACTCCAACTTATCACCAGCAATCACGCCTTCCCGTGTGGTCAATATCGCTATTTTAACCATCTAGATGTTCACGCATAATCTGCGCTATATCATCCTCCTTTCTAGCTTCTTGCAAAGGCGCACCTGCCGCGACTATCCCGGCTTTGCTATATACTTCTTTACAGCATCCACGAGTTTACCTAAACGCACCCCCAACGCTTGGTCACTACTTCCCGAGTCTGTCATCCCCGCCAGGTCAAATAGTCCCGCAGTGCTGTTAGCCGCACTCTCCGCCGCTTGTCGATCCATCAACTTAAACAAGAAATGAGCTATAATCACCCAAACACCATAAGTCTGCAGATTTTGTAACATGCACTTCACCTTTTCAGGCTCTCTGGCATAGGCCTTTGCCAATCTTTCAGCCGTTTCTAACATCGAACTCGCGGCTGGGTGAACAGAATATCCAACATTTGATTGTGCCGTGCTAGCACCACCGAGTCCACCACTCCTACCTCTATCCATCGATCACAAACCACCATATGAATACTCGATTAATCCGCAGTGATGAATCTGTTCACCAAGTAGTCATTCCCAACATACGCCTGTCTAATAGGAGAGGCACTGTAATGCTACTTGGATTATGCGCTCGACGCTCCTTAAATCTTCTGTCCTTCAGAACTCGCCCATCCATGCAATTCCCCATCCATCAAACACCCAAACCTTTTCACTGATGTCGCCATTGCCATTGTGAATTTTTATTTGTAATATTAAGTATATCTCTAATACTATATTGTTATCGTTAGTACTTCTTAGCCCTATCAGTCTTGACGTACACTACAGTTTAATATAAGTTCTACTTACTGGTTATAACAATAGTGTGTGT